TGGTGGGAAAGGGAGAGCCTGTCACCCGCTTGCGTTTGTGGCATGTATAGATTCAGGACCTGCATGTGTGCTCTAGCCTGGGAGCGGTTTTGCTTCCACCAAACTGAGCTGGAGCAGTTTTGCTTTGTGTTTTGGCCTGGGGCCCGTGCCTTGTGGAGTGGGTTCCTTTTTCGGAGGAGAGGAGACATTGTGCTTTCCAGGAGGCCAAAAGCCCCCCCTCACCGTCTCTCAGAGGTGAGAGGAAGCAGCGCTCCAGGACCTGTGGTTCTGAGGAGCTTTTGGGAGTGGGAAGAGCAGGAGGGTCGACGATGGCAGAGGCTGGCGATGGAAGGAGCACACCTGACCATCCCATCCCTCCCCTCGGACACAGAGCTTTCACAGCCTTCCGCAGCTTCTTCTCTGCTTCTCCATCCCAGCGCCTCCGTACCACCCAGGAGCCATTCTTTCGCTCCCACCCCGTCCCCTTTCCTTCTTTGGTGTTTACATTCTTCAGATACTTGCAGGCTGTTATCACCTCCCCTGTAGCCCTTCTTCAGCCACAGCAGGCAGCTGCCTCTCCTTAACCTGCTGTTGTAAGCCAGTCCTTCCAGACATCGCCTATGTCCCCGGCTGCTTGGGACCCCCTCCGGTGCCTCTACCTGGCCAGCTGTGGGGCTGAACATATAACTCTGGTGGGTATGGATGCAACCAGGCAAAATTGCTGCTGCCACCTCCCAAGCCGAAGCCTCGCCATCCGCAGCCCAGAGCTGTGCTGCAGGGCTGTACGTTTTGCTGGGGGTGCATCCTGCTGCATCCTTGCCTCTCCGGCATCCGGATCTCTCCCAGCGATTCGGCTTTCCTGGACGTTTCCTCCTCTCACTGCCAGGCCGTTTCCTCTGGATGGGGGGGTTTGGTTTGAATCTTGCTCTCTTCTCTGCTGGTATCCTGAGCTTTTTATGCCACATGAAGAAACTGGATTTGGTTGTGGGGAGGGGGAGAAAAGTGGCTTTAAGCACTTTGTGCATCAATCAATGCCTCATCCTCTGGTACCGGCCCTGCTATGACAAGAATAGTTCAAAGCCAATTCCAGAGCTGCGGCTCTGCATCTGGGGGTGGCAGTGAAAATGGGGCTGGCAGGGAAAACGGGAGCCCTGTGCAATTCTCCTGCTTGAGAGAAGCACTCCAGGGGTATTTTTCAGCCCTGGTGTTGCATTGGGGGCAGTAACAGGGCAGCACGTGGCAGCAGCAATTCTGGCAGGGCTTTGTGTTGGTTTTCCCAGCGGCATATATCCCTTTAATGTTCCTTATTTCAGCACCTAATGCTTTGGGATTGTAAATCCTCAGTGAGATGAGACCTAGCTGATCTGTACAACACCCCCAGCCAGGAGTCCTTTCTCTCCCTATAGTGTTTTTCCGCCTCCGTGGAGCCTGCCCGGCTCTCTTCTGCCGTGCGCACGTGTGTCCTGGGAGGGGGAAGGTTGTGCTTTGACGTTTCGCCTCCTTTCCTTCCCTCCTGCCGCTCCCAGTTCAGAGCCGGAGCTGAAGTCACCGGATTGGAAGGGATAACGGGAAAAAGGGTGGAGCTGCTGCCACGGGGAAGGAATTAATTTTCAGGGCACTTTTTCAGGGTAGCAGCAGAGCCGGCGGGACATCTGGGTCCGTAGGGACAGGGATGCGTGCGTCCCCCTTGTCTCCCAGCCACTGGCAGCGCCCGTCACCTCTGCGGGAGGTGAGGCATGGGAGCCCCCTGTGCCATTTCACTCTGGTTTCCCTGCCTGCCCCTCTTCCCTGGCGGCTCAGGGCTGCTGTCAGACACTTCTGGCCAGGCCTGAAGCTGCAGCAGCCGGTGACCCTCCCCTTGGCGGACCTGCCCACGCCTGCTCAAACCAATAGCTGGAGTGCCAGGGTGGGCTGGCACGTACTGGGCTCTTGCTGCCCCATAACCTTGGGTGTAACCCAAGAGCAGCAGCTCGGGGAGATGAAAGCAGGGGAAGGCTTGGCCCGGCTGGGCGGCCAGGGAGCTGGGCTTGCGGGACAGTCACGGCCAGCCACTGGGCTTGTTTTGGGGTCATGGAGCGGCTCTCCGCTTGCCTGCGCCCCACCTCCTGCCC